GTGTGTGTGTGTGTGTGTGTGTGTGTGTGTGTGTGTGTGTGTGTATGCATGCAGTGTGTGTTTCTTTAAATACCCTTGTTCATTCCCAGGATGCAAAGAGAGTTTTTCCTCTTTCCTTTAGGAAGATTTAATCGTTCAGTTTTACACTTAGCTTTATGATACACTTTTTTAAAAATTTAAAGTGTTTAGTGTTTTGAGAATTTCATATGTGAGAATTATATATATACATTTAGCATTTTCACCCTCCTTCTCTCATGCCCTCACAGCTTCTCAAATTCATAACTTCTTCATTAATTATTTTGATATATATATATATACACACACATATATATATGACAAAACATAACCACATATATCCCTGTGTTCATTTACTGTTGCTCACATGTGCATGTGATTATGGCTGACCACTTGGGGTTAGAGTTTTGAATTGAACTGTGTATATAATATAAAGGAAGATTTGATTTCACTAGGGACTTTTAATAAATCTCTTCTCTCTTTGTTTATTATAAAGCCCAACTCTTTCCCCATTGTATTGTTGCATTGAAATGGTTGCTTAGTATTTGTGAAACACATGCACACAATTTAAATTATTATTTTTAAAATTATTTAACTGTTTCTAGGACTTTTGTATTTCATATTAATTTTTAGAGATAACTATAAATCTTTACAACAACATGCTGGAATATTTAGAAGTATAACTTTATGGACATCTCTTAAAAGAGTTAATTCCTTATTAATATCAACCTTCCCAATCCCCAAAATATTGTATCTCCATTATCTGGGCATTATTTAAAAATAAATTCTCTTTGTTCATATAATCTTTCAATTGTAATACTTTTTTAAATTTTACTACATAGGATTCTCTCGTTTTCTTTTTTTTAAGATTTATTTATTTATCATGTACACAGTGTTCTGCCTGCATGTGTGCCTGCACAAAAGAAGAGGGAACCAGATCTCATTACAGATGGTTGTGAACCACCATGTGGTTGCTGGAAACTGAACTCAGGACCTCTTTCTGAAAGAGAAGCCAGTGCTCCTAACGTCTGAGCCATCTCTTCAGCCCGCATTCTCTCATTTTCAAAGTCAAATTTTCAATTAAATATTTCACATTTTTATTGTTTCTATACATAGTTTTAATCTTTAAAAATGCTCCTATTGTCTGTTGCCACTGGACCTTTAAAAATTTGATCAGATTATGTCACTTCTCTGTGAAAAGCCTGTGATAACTTCTCAGCTCACTTCATGAAATCTAAAATCCTTCCACGTCCTAAAAGACTGAGCCACAAACAGTCTGCTCATGCTGTCCTGCTAACCTTGCCTTTCCTCGCCATGCCCGGCAGGCTGGCCTCCCTGCTCCAGTTAAGCCAGCCAGCGAGTCCTACAGCACAAGGCGTTGCCTCTGCTCCCTTTGAAATCATATGCTCATGTTCTGCGATGCCGGCCCTCCACCCCTGACAGTTCTTATAAAGAGCCCTTACAGCAAACCACACTCCAGCTTCTCCATCTTTCCTCTGCCCACATTGTCAGGATTCTGTTCACAGTCGTCAGTCTCATCTCACGCCCTACATTTGTTGTGTTTTACTTCTTCTTCTTCTTTGGCCAGCTTTGTTATCAGCATGTGAGGAAAGGAACTTTGGTTCAATGCTGTATTTGAAATTTCCTCTGGCGGCTTGTGGTTGTCACTCTGAATGTTAGAATAAACGCATGTCAACGCCCAATAAGGGTAATTACTCCAATGATAGAAGTGGAAATCAGATTGCTAGTGGTTCCCCATTGCCTAGAAAGTGGAGGAAGCAAAAGCCCGCAGACACTCCTCAGCAGCTTTTTCTCTTAGACCATCTGATTAAATGAAGGCCACATGAGGAGGTGTAGCAGGGTAAATTTTGTTGCTTGAAATGTGAAAGAGACTTACTATACCTCTCCAACAAGGCCACACTTCCTAATAGTTTGACTGTCTTTGGAGGCCATTTTCTTTCAGACCACCACAGCAGCCTATGTTAAAGACAAACATGCTAGCAAACCAGAAAACAGAGTGTTCGAGACCTGGAGCCAGGATCAGGTACAATTCTCCAGGCACACCTCTGGGGACCCACTTTCGACAGCCTGGTCCTGTCTCATGAAGGCACCACAGCTTTCAATTTGTGCCAGGATCTTGGGTCCAAGTACTCGAAATGTGATCTTGTGAAGTGTATTTCAGATTCTGCTTATGACATTCAGAATGCCAGAGTCTCTCACACACGGCTTCTGATTGGATCGTTCTAGAACCACATTTTTGAAGCACATGCCTGAAGTTTGTGAACTACTGCTCTCTTTTCAAATCTGTAGTTTCACAGTGGTTTGCTTGTTCTACATGTGCCTGTTTCTGATGACCTAGGCATGTTTATAAAAATCCGTTGCAGACGAGACGTCACACCATGTATAGTACAAACTCTAAAAGATGCTGGCTAAGTCTTTTTCCTGAAGTAGCCCGCAGTCTGAGAAAGCTAAGGCACACAGATGTGACAGGTTATCTAGTTATCTTAGGCTTCTGGGACTATTTCTGTCTGGAAAGACTGGAAAAGGCCCCTTAATAAAAACAATTTAGCATCTCAATATTAGCAGTGAGGGTACTTGGTTTTTGGACTTCAAAGATAAAACACCTAAAGTACAAGAGATATATCATACAAGAAAAGAAAGGATTGTACATTCAAACTGTTAAAATAATCTGTATTAATTTCAATGATAATAGAAATTTTGATATTGATTCTCCCTTTTGCAATGATACAGTGATTGAAATACGGTTTCCAAGTTTATGTAGCTTATCTTAATTGTATTGATATAAATATGATTTTCAAAAGAACGCTTAATGATTATGTCTTTCAGCAGTGTTCCTTAAATTACTCTATTTTGTAGGTCAAATTCACGAATTTTCTGATTATTTATTTGAGGTTTGTCCTAAAAAGTGGTCAACAGAACTCCCCACTTGCCTGTGTAATTTGGAGTTAAATTCCTTCACTTGGTTAGAAGTCTGTGATAATGATGCTGATCTAATTAGCTTGTTCACCATGTGAAGTAGGTGGCTTCGTTTTGCTTTCTATCCCAAATGGCTCTCCAGTGACCATTTTGAAATTGCATGACATTTTCCACAAAGATATCCTGACCAGGAAGTGCCATCTTAGTGGAGTCTGTAACGTTACCCCAAACTTTAGCTGTGTTCTTGTTTTCTGAAACTGTTGTAGTTACATAACCATCACCTGCGGACAGCAGGCAGTTTACAGGCCAGCTGGGTTTTTTGTTTGTTTGTTTGTTTGTTTGTTTTTGTTTTTTACTTTTTTGAAGCAGGGTTTCTCTGTGTAGCCCTGGCTGTCCTGGAACTCACTCTGTAGACCAGGCTGGCTTCGAACTCAGAGAGCCTCAGGTCTGTGCCTCTAGAGGTAGCCTGTTTTCTATGGAACATCTCCTCACAGGCACCTGCTTATCAGATACTGTGGCTGAGTCCAAGGCTAGTGCAGGCACACTTTCACTTACTAAAAATCCTTGGAAGAAGTTTGTCACTTGAGGAATTCCATGGCCTGTTTATCCGAGTTTCATAGTGCTTTACAACTTAGAACATTTTTATAACATGACATTTTATAACATCTTTGTAGCATTTTTCTCTTATAAATTTATTTTCCCACTTAAGTTTTATTTCTGATTGTAGTGAACTCCCCAAGGACTATCTCTTTATCTCTCAGTGAGTCATACATTTCTCCTTAATAAGAGTACTTAACATTCCCAACAGCCTTGAGGCAGGGGGAGGGCTTGCACCTGCCTCTACTGAATGTTCCAGGCTCTGCTGACTCCCCATACTTTACTTTCTTGTAGGAGGGAATAGGGAGTGAGTTGTGGGGGAGGCTTGAGGGGCAGAAGGAGGGAAGAGGGGGATCTATGATTGGTATGTAAGATGAATAAAACATTTCTTAATAAAAAAAGAGTACTTACTTAACATTCTCTTTCTTTTTCATTTTTTTTTTTTTTAAATCTGCCTGGAATACCTGAGACACTTGCAAATATTTCTAAGAAATGTGAATATTGTCTCCCTCTTAAACTGGAGGATGACATGTAATACAAAGTTTCATGTCTCAGTTTTCCCCTTTTTGTAATATATGTTCCAGTTCTCTTTGTACTAATGTGAAGAAAAAAACAAAAACAAAAACAAAACAAAACAAACAAACAAAAAACTACCCATTGTTGTTCCTAGCTGATTTTTTCTTCTGAGAACAAAATCCTTAGCTGATGTCTCCTAGGCCGTCTTCCTCTCAGACAGCAGCGCATTAAGAATATGCTCATCTAATACTGAGTTTATCGGTCCTGAACGTCCCTGGTAGTCAGTGCTAGGTGAAGGGATGGTGAGTTTTAAATTCTTACAGCTGGTATCAAATCACAGTACACCTGGTTTTTGCACTGTGCTCTTATATTATCAAAACGTTGATGAGTTGTTTGCTTCCTGTCTCCTTAGCAATGCATCACTGTCAGATTTTTATTCTTGTCAGATTACTAGACAAACTAAGATCTCAGCATAGTTTTAATTGTATTTCTCTAATGAGAAGTAACAAACATCTTTCTACTATTTAGGCATTTGCCTTCTTTTCTGTTGGTTAAATACTATTATTTTTTAAATCTTTTAGAAAGGATCAAATTATATGTGGGTGACTGTTTAAATTTAGAATTGTAAATCTTTTCAAGTTGTTCTTTTGATTATTATTCTATCAATATCTATATTGATATCTATCTATTTATCTATGTTCTTTCTTCCTTCCTTTCTTTCTTTCTCTCTCTCTCCCTTTCTTTCTTTCTTTCTTTCTTTCTTTCTTTCTTTCTTTCTTTCTTTCTTTCTTTTTTCTTTCTCTTTGCTTGCTTGCTTCTTGGCACTGACTGTTAGTTTTTACACAGGACAGCATTGTCAGTATTTTCCTCTGTGGTGAAGCTCTAGCTTTTCTCAGTTTGAAACACCATATCCTATACAACTGATCATGACATAACCCCCAGTCACATTATAATTTAAATACAGAGACTTGAAACACTAAATGTTTATGAATGTAAACCGCAAAAATTAGTGCAAATTTCTCAAAAATTAGTACAGCCTCTAGAACTATTTAAAGTCTTTCTCAAATTTGTTTCAGCCTTAAAGATAGTTTTCACAAAGGAAAGAAAAAAAACTTTAAAAATTATTTTGGTATTATTTTTGAAAAATTGAATCCTAGGATTATATCTTTAAATATATTAATCATAGCCAGCATTCCAAATAGTGACCTTTTCCTTCTTCCATGTAATTAATTTTGCCAGCCAATTTACTTTTGGTGGCACTATAAGTAGAATGACAGTATTGGCAGATCTAAGGTAGAAGATCAAAAATTTGAGAAAAGATTGAGCTACATGCAAAGACTATATCTCAAAAACCAAACCAAAACTCAAATGCAGACAAAGAAAAGAAAAATCAAATAATAATAATAATAATAATAATAATAATAATAATAATAATAATAACAAGAACAACAACAAAAATTCCAAGCCAAAATGTAAGCTGGGAATGAGGGCTAAAAAAAACTTTTCAGAAGTAACAAATTCCATAGAGAGCATCAATACATGTCAGTGAAATTTGTGACTTTTTTCAGATAAAATCAAAAATCAGATCTTGGTCTTTCTGGTATTTTATTCGTAACTTGAATTAAAGTAATAATATTGTATTGTTAGCAAAATCCAGAATTGTTTAAAAATTTCTTTTCTTTTTTATTCTTTTGTTTGCAAATTGAGAGGATCTGTGATGAGGATTCATGTCATCTGAGACGTGTGCACCTGCCTATGTATTTGTACAGATGAGTTAATGAATTATTAGTCATGTTTAGTAGGGTAAGCACAAAGTCTACATTCACTTCATCTCTATGTGCTTAAAAAATATTGCCCAGATCCATGCTCTGATTTAGTTCCTCTTGTAAAGGCCACTAGTATTTAAAGGTCCATGGAGACAAGGAAACCCGACCTAATGAGTAACCCATCACAGTATTGGCAGAGGGGTGAGCTTGTCCACTGATGTACCATCTGACCTTGTCTGAGTCACGCCATTGACTGTAACTCAGACCACTTGCAAGTGGAGGCAGAGGAACACTATTCACAGATGCATTCTCTCTACAGAAAAGCTTTGCAGATCCAGAGCATGAGCTAAAGTCTGGTCTACCTTCCACCCCAAGTCCACATATGTGACTATGAAGCGCATCTCTGCTGATAGGATGCACTTACATTTCACACTTTTGTGTGAGATTGTGTTCTGTGTGGGAACCATGTACTTTACTATATTTAAATATGCTATTTTCCTACTAAATTGATAGGTTACTCTGAAGAAAACTGTAATTTTTCTTTCCCTCAACAAAATCTCAGCATTAAAATAAAAAAGAATTTCCTATTGTTAAAAGATGATATTTTTTTTTAAACACTGTCCCTTAACTCCATGTAATTGATAGAGCTTAACACTTCAGAACTCTGGCCACAGATTTTCTTTTCTTTCTTTTTTCTTTTTTTCCATAGAAGAGCAAAAAGAATGAATATTCACACTTAACTTTTAGCTTCAGGCTAAAATGTATTATGCACCTTATTTTGGTTTTTAAAAATAATCACCTTGTCAGAATTCAATGGCAAAGTGAAGGCAACTCTGTCAATAGAGACAATTTGAGGGCAAAAAGCACATTCTTCACCCCCCCTGAGTATCATTTCATTTGAATGCTACTGATTTTTTACCTGCTGCTTTTTTTGGGAATGCTCCATGGGACAATATAATGAAGTCTAAAATACCACACACTGAAAACTCATCCCCGCAGACAGCACATAGCTGACAACTACTGTGTTCTCATACATTGTCCCTATTTGAACATTATATTTTATGTACATAAAGTGCATGTCTAGAACTTTCCTTTTAAAATGGTACAAGCAAGAGAAAAAACCTGGATTCCCATATGTCTACCAACCTATCGCATGAATATATTAACACCATCACAACACCAACTGCTTTCATTGTTTTGTGGTAAGTGGTAGCAGAGTCAGGGTATACATCACTTAAAGTGCAGTTTTCACTTCTCTTAGAAGAAACCAAAAGCATTGATTAAAAGTACTAAGGTTTAAAAAATAGTAAATCTTATCTCTAATGGAAAATCTTGACAATCGAAC